CCACCAGCAATTCTGATGATTGCACAGATATGGTGGTTTTACTTGCTAAATTACAAATGAGCTTTGCAGCTGGGTGAAGAAGATAATTGCTCTAGCCTATCCACACACACAGTATTTAGATGCATGTCTGTTTATAGTAAAGGCTGGGTTCTCCTGATTGCAGAGYGAGGATGTGCTGGAAAAGGATGAAAACTAAGTGTCCCTTCCCTTTTGAGGAGTTAAAAAACAGTTGCAGAATGGCCCACAAGGCTCTCTTCCATGGGGAAAATATTGCAACCTTAACATTAATCTTCTCTCTTCTCTTTTTTTTTTTTTTTTTCCTTTTTCTTAACACTAGATTGTTCAATTCTGGATGTTATTCTAGCCCCTCGACTGTGTGATATCTAAAATTCTAGCACCATGTAGGCACTTGGACCCCAAAGATGGACTTGCTCAGCTTCTTTGGCACATATCCCCTTTTGTTTTTGTTTTGTTTTTCTCCCTGCCTGTTAAATTCAGGTTTTGAGGGACCAGGGAGCTTGAAGGGGGCATTTTTTCGCCACCTGCAAGCTGCAGCAGGGCTGTTCCTCGCTGTATACCCCCTGAAGCGTGTCGTCAAGGCCTCAAGATGTGTGTGTGCCTTTCACCACTTCCCCGGGAGATCCCTCCACAGCGGGCTCTGTTTTGCAGCAAATATTCCCCRGTTTGTTTGTTATCTTTCCTCCCACTTTATTTGTGAAGCGGCATCACAAAACACCCTCCCCCTTCTCGGCACCTCTGTTTTTTTGTTTCCTGTCGGGTGTTTTGCTCTGACATGCCAAAGAAAGACAGAGACCGTGAGGCGGGGAACATCTGGCCTACGCCGCAGCAGACAGGCAGAGGACAAGCTCTGATAGATAAAACGAGGGTTTTTTCATCACTTTTGCTGTAGCAAGACCTTGTTGCGGGATGTACTGAGCTTCCTGGCACAGCCCTGCGGGGCAGAAAGCAGCCCCCAAGTAGGACTCCCTTCTTGTGAACACGACTGTGGCCTGCAAACGTTTAAAGGCAGCTTCTTACGAGTTGGCCACATGCTTCAAATTGTTCTGTGGTTAACCGCAACGAGCAACCCCCACACAAATACCTAGTGCTCTGCGCGCTGCAGCCAGGGTGGTAGCGCTGGGGGCAGGAGGAGAAGGGAGGGCGGCCCTTCCCTTTGCTTTTGAGGATAAAATTGTGTTTTCTTCTGACTTTCCAAGCCTGCTGGCAGCCACGGTGCCGTGCTCGGCGCTGGCCTTCACACGTTTGTTTGAGTTTATCGCTGGTGAAAGGAGCCTTGTTGGATGGTTGCGTTGACGACACCACARGCCCATTGGCCCAAGTCTTGCTCAGCTACTCTCGTGATCGGGAAGGGAAAGCATTGCCTTTGACTTTGCCCTATCCCATGTCCCTTAACTCTTATAAAAGCTGAATACTTTTCTGCTGACTCACAGAGGCAGATGGATTTCGTTAGCTCCGGACAAGAGAGAGGAGGCTACAAGGGAAAGCCTCCCTGCCTTTCAGGAAGGCTCAACCAGGCCTTGGGTGTGCAACCCAGTGAGCACATTTGCACAGCCACTGTGGATGGAGCTTGGCTTACTGGTGCCATGTGGAAGTAAGGAAGTCCCTGGTCCAGGCTGAGTGCTGCTGCTTCCCTTGGGAACATTAATCCATTTTGGAAATATTGAGGCCATATGTCTTTCCATTCGGTGTCTTGTGCCTTCTCTCCGAAGAAAGGCACTTTCCCAAAGCAAAGAGGGAGATTTAAGGCCGGCAACAAGGAAAAAGACCCCCAAAGGTAAGTATGCATATAGCTCTAAAACCCTTAATAACTCCATTGCCCCAACTTGCATCTTCTGGAATTCTTAAAAAAAAAATACAAGTAAGTAAAAAAAAAAACTCTTTGCATTTTTTTGTATTTTTGAGGGATGTAAAGCCACTGAAGAACTTGTCTTACAGCCATGTTCTACATGAAGACAACTTTCAAACTCAGTTGGGATATATTTTTGTGTATAGATTATGAGAGGGAACTCAAATGGAAATCCAGAGATTTATTTCTCCATGCACCTAATATTTAGATCCATTTTAAGTTTAATCAGACRTTTTCTAAATGAAAGTAAAGACTTTGCACTGGGTCTTGAAGAGGCTTAAGGGAAAGGCCCAAGGTGATCTGCTTGCTCAGATAAGAAACAAAACTGTTCTTTCCTTYTTCCAAAAAGCAGTACAAAAAAAGTAGTGTTAAAAGCTTTCAAGTGTGGAACAATTTTGGTGAAAGCGGTCTAGTTACACCAGCCCATTTGTCATCTGAGCGAGAAACATCATTGTGTGTATTAAGTTAGCTCACTATGACTCCTTGCCTGTCAAAACTGTTTATTAATAGTTGCCAACAACAGCAAGAAAGGCACGAGGACTGGCAGTCGCGATGGTGAATGAGATGGACACATGGAGTGAGGACCTCCTCATTGATGCCAAAGAGCAGGAGGGGGAAAAAAAGGAGAGAAGGAACATWAAAGCAGGAAGGATGTAATCCTAAAGCATTTAATGGTGCAACTGGTTACTCGGAACAGACCAAAAAACTTGGCATTTCTCCATAGACAACCAAGTAGGTTGATCTTAATGTCCTATTAGTCCTTGACGTGGGAACAAATGTCAGCAGAAGCAGCTGCTGAGGTTATTGTCACACTCACCATGGCCACGGGTAGCTGAGTTGGGAATGCTGCACCTAAATGTTCCCAAACTGCTGTGATAATTGCTTAATTGCTTATTAAGGACCTATGTAGTGCTTGGGACAGTTATATAAAGACACACAAAAGAATTCCTAAAGTCTAAATCAAACAAAGCCTAAGAACTTTTAGGGGAAAAAAAAAAAAAAAAAAGCAGGGAAAGGAAAAGTGTTCACATTTAAAAAAAGAAACACGCACACAATGCACTGAAGGTTGTGCTTCTGTACTTCCTGGATCTGGGTGTGAGCAGAAGAGGAAATACCAAAATACCACCAGAAACGCTATTCCCACAACATTTCCAGACCAACTAAAACTGGCAAGTTTTTAATGTCCTGCAAAAAAACAGCAAAATAACTCAACTGACCCAGTCCCAAGTCTTCTGCTCATGAGATAGACAACCAAATTTTCAAAGCTAGGAGACTTGGGTAGACCTAGCGACCTTCATATTGCCTCTCGGTTCTTACCCATGCTCTCCGTTTTCTGTGGTTCACTGACCAGTAGTGACATTTTGATTCTTCTACCAGCTTTGACATGAGCCCCATTGCTGCTCCTGCTTAATTGCAATGTGAACATAGACCACCAAATTGTGGGTTAAATAACCACATGGCAGGGCATCAGAGCTCCACAATCACTCAGGTGAGGAGTTCCTTGCTTTCCTCGCCTTTTCAGAGGTCTGGACTCCTATGCTGAGAACATAGATGTGTGTATTCAATAAGAACTCAAATTTCAGTGCATAAAATACCATCAGTTTGCAATGTTGCCTTGTGGGTTAAATAACCACATGGCAGGGCATCAGAGCTCCACAATCACTCAGGTGAGGAGTTCCTTGCTTTCCTCGCCTTTTCAGAGGTCTGGACTCCTATGCTGAGAACATAGATGTGTGTATTCAATAAGAACTCAAATTTCAGTGCATAAAATACCATCAGTTTGCAATGTTGCCTTGTTTTAATAATTAATAATTAATTCCTGAAGGTTTGAAGGTAAACAAGACATGAGTTTGATCTGGCAGGTCTCCCATTGGTACTGAAGAAAGCCTTGAAGAAGAGTGACGGGATGAGATTCAGGAGGCTGTGCAGAAACCTGGCAAAGCAGCCAGTTGACAGTTTAAAGCTTCAAATTTGGAAACTTTGTACAGAATTTAGAAAATGCTTATTTTCTTTTACTGGTATAAAAATAAATATTCTTGCCAACTGAAAAAGTAACAATTTAAATGTGAAAGTCTCTTGACTGACTCGTAATATTATATATTAAAATTCAGAATGTTTTCAGTATTGTAATGAAAATCAGGGCTGAAGTTAAATAACTTTCCCCTTTTTTTTGGTTTTCACTATAGGCATTTCCTAGTATCGCGCAAGTTCTGAAGCAGTCTTTTCCCTAAAATTAGGGAACCAAACCTCTTGGAACGATGCCAAAAAGCAACTCAGGAATGTGCAGTGTAGCCAGAGCCCTTAGCTAAAGGACAGAATAAAAGTTGTAATAACGATGACTCTTTGTTCCTGCTCTCCCACATCTCACTCGGACAACTTTTCCATTGATTTCAGCAAAGAAATTGGGTTTTATTTTCAAATTGCGGATTCATTGCAGTTGTGATCAAACTAAAAGYACCTAGGGCTAACAATGCCAGCATGGACTCTCGCATCCGAAAGTGAAGTTAAAACCGGAGCTAAGCCTCCTGTTTGCATGCAGCTTTCCCGTTCATTCAGTGCAGCACACCACTCAGCATTTCTCTCCAACTGCAGAAAGCCCCTTTCTGGCCYCTCCAACACGGCTGCATGAAATGCGCTCGTGCTCCTGCTGCAAACTTATTTAAGAGACAATAGGCAAAATAGTTGGCGCACGGATTCCTTTTAAAATTTAAAACTGGATCCACAATGAAACATAAAAGGCCAGAGAAGCATATAATGAGACACATAAAAGCCCATTGTTTTTAAATTCATTTTTGCTGTGATTGAGACTGARTGGGAGCCTGATTCTGCCAGTCTTTTTTTAAGCAAGAGGTTGCTTATGGGAGTAAAAGTTACTTACATGCGTAAGGACTTGCAGAATCTGGCCTTAAACATTTGACTACAGAAAAGTTTACCTACATGCTATCCGTAGAGCAGAATATATTTTAGGAATTAAAAACGGACGTTACTAYTTTTTTCCTCTAAAGTTAGTACTTCAGCTTCTTAATTTTTTTTCAATTTGCTCAGTAGCCACATTCAATGGACACGGTTTTAGAGCCATGATTCAGAGGTATTAATTACTAACCACACTTAAGCGCAATGTACTGTAACTCACCAGGACTTGTGCAGTCTGAATTCCCATTCCAGATTTGTTCCTCAAACCTAGGGCCATTATTCCATCTTAGACTAAAACATATTCTCTCATGGGCAGCTGGAAAAGACCATGTTTCTTCAGGTTTTAAATCCACAAAAAGATAAAATTAAGTAGAATAAAATGTTAATATAATAATAAAAAAAAGGAAATCCAAAGTACGGTGATCCCTGGAGTTTGGGAGTCTTAAGAGTTTTGATTTGCATCCATAAAAGTTCTGACCGGTGTGGAGCCACAGGCACCACAACTGGAAGGAGAGCAGGAAGGAAAGCCTACCATGTGAGCAAAGAGAAAAAAAAAAAAAGAAAAAAAAGGAAAAAGAAAAAAGGTCTGCTCGGTGGACAGCACTTGGGCTGATCGCAGGGATTTCAGGAAATCCAAACACTCAGACAGGAAATCTGAACACTGGATAAACATGCCATAATCTCCGCAGATGCGGTGCACGGGCTGYGCCTCCCGTTAACCCTTGTGCTGCCCGCGCGGCGGTCGCGCTGGCCATGCCTCCTTCCACGCTGCGGGCACCCTGCCGAGGAGCTTTCCCTCCTTATTTCTCCACAGTGACGCTTTAGTCGCAAAAAGTTGGATTTGTGGCAGGGTTTTCCTCCGCCGCGGAGTAAGTGCTGTTGTGCGCTGAGTTTTGCAACAGCAGGTCAGACCTGTGCCCACGCCTGCTGCTGCTAGCTGGGTCTACCTGGAAGCCAGGGATTAGTTTTCTGYCTGTCTCTGCTTTTTCCCCCTTCTCCTTTCCTGTAACTCAAGATTTATCTGGCTATGTGATACGTGCAGGGTCCTAGGGATGATTTACTCCCATGCTGGCTGCAGCAGGGGGGAGGGAAGGTCACCTTAGAAATTGGAGGGAGAGAAAGTCCTTAAAGAAACAGCAGATTTGGAAAACTACTTTTACGCCATTTTGTTATGGAATTTAGGATCAAACTCCTCAATCCTTAGTTGTTCCCTGAGCATAGACTTTGCTCCTTGTGTCTGGTGGTTATCTCCCTGACATTAACAAGATTACAGGGTTCAATTTTTTTTCTTCAAGGCTTCTTAATGGAATTCCTTATTGATGTGATCTTTCTTAACGAGTGCAGAAATGCAGAACTCGTAGTCAAATATGACTATAACAAAAAGCAAAAACATTTTCTGTCAAAATAGGTGTAAAACTGACCCTCTCGTTCCTGCAGATGTAATTGCTAAAGCGAAGTTTATGAGAGAGTTGTCCCGCTAGAATCTGCAGGATTGTTAATGCGAAAGTAAGGACATGTGTGTTGGCGGGATGGGGACTTTGCTGTGTTTGCTGCAGCGGGACAGTTGCTGGCCTCACAGCTTTTCAGAAGCACCTGATTCCTAAGGCAAGGGCCCCCTTGCAAAAATGCCTCTTCTCTCTTAAGAAAACTAGTGCCTTGAATTGCAGTTGGTTTTTGCTGGCAGCTAGTAGAGGTGATTAGACACGGAGGTAACTTCCACTGATGGGTCTCCTTGTGCAAAGCATGGGCCATTAACTCATCTCAAATAGCCCTAATGTTGGTCCCGTATGCAATATAAGCTATATCATTTTTGTAGGGTATGAACCAGAAGAAAATATGAGCACTCTAGTTAAAAAAGCTTCCTTCAGCAACTTCTGCTAGCTATAGCTTCTGCTTATTACATCCAGGAGAGAAGCTCTGGCAAAAAAAAAAAAAAAAAAAAAAAAAAAGCAGCAGTTACAGCATTTGCTGGAAGTGGTTGGGCTTGGAAATGGAATCGTGTCTACTGAGGGAAGCTGTCCTGGCCAAGAAGAGCCACGGGAGCCTGGCCAGATTGCTGGGGCGGAGAATGGGACTTTTGGGTCATCCCCACATCAGGAAACCTTCTCTGGTGTCCAGCCCAGGTGTGAGACAGGAAACACCCTAAAAGTTGGATCCTCAGGCTTCCTGTCCCCCTCTTGCTACCCTGTAGGGTGCTTGAGGCCTTGGTGGAAGAGGTTGCCCCCATGAAGGCCATGGTGAAGGTAGTGGGAGAACAGCAGTGTTGCTTGCGGGGCATCAAGTCATCCCCAGTGCCCAGCATGTGTTACATGAAGCAAGCATCAAATGGTTGCTTGATGATGTCAGGAGTGGAACGGATGGAAAAACAGTGAAAAAATTAAAACATCTCAGGGTCTTGAGCTTTTTCTGTTGTTGTTGTTCCATGGGTTTTGCCAGTGAGCTATTYCGCTTATTCACTTTTTCCCATAAAAGTTCTTTCTTTTTTTTCATCTTCCCTGTTCTCATCTTTTCCCTTTAGTCCTGCACTTTCTCAGAGCAGCAGGAACAAAGAAAAATAGGGCAAAGAGAAAGCTTAGCTTTTGATTTTCAGTGTAACTGAAAAGAAAAAAAAAGAGCAAATATTCATAAGCCCCCCCCAACTGCATTCTGAAATTTTTCCCGATGCAGAGACTTTTCATTTGAAAACATTCAAGCAGCTATAGAAGAAAGGAGCTGGGGGGAAGCGGGATATAATTTATTACCACTAACATCTGCTGTAAATCAGTTAGAGGTAGGCAAACATTCCCTGCCAGGGCACCGTTAGGTCAAGGTGAGAGGGGACAAAGCAATAATTAAAAGGCCAGCGTTCTCCAGCTCCCTTCAGTCGGCGCTGAGCAGAGGAGCAAGTGCTGGCTGCTGGTTTTCTTTTTCCTCAAAAAAATTGTAGGGGGTAAAAAAATTAATTGATATTTTCAGTGGAAAGCTGTCAGTTTATCAAAAAGTTCCCCAAATTTCTATTAAACATTAAAAATATTATACACTTCTGTTTTCTAGCTTAAGAAATGGTTGACAAAGGACATGCTTATTGTAAAATCTTTCATTTGGCAAGAAGTTTCTATTAAAAAACTCCACAGAAAAATGTTGCAATAAGGCCTAGTACAAAGGAGAACAAGGACAGCACGGTAAATAGAATAATGAAGCTCACAAATATAAACGGTGCAGAAATATCTAGCAGAAACAGAGTACAGATAAAACTTGAAACTCGGTCCAGTAGAACCACCAAGGCTAAAAAGTGCATAGGGATTGTGGGGGGCACAGCAGCTGCAAAGTATCCACAGTCACCTAAGAGAAAAGCCAATGGCCTGACTCAGTACAGATGTGAAGATGCTTGGCTTTAAACTGGAAGGAAACCCACATCCACCTTTGATGTACCCACAGCAGCTGAGCTTTCTGCTTGCAGGCTCTGTATCCCTGGGATGTAAGTTTTGGTAGTCCTAGAGCTAACATCAAATCCCGACTTTCTCAACAAAGAGCTCTCAAGCTACTGAATTAAGACAAATCCAGTTCATTAAAGATTAAAAGAGTTTAGCGACGCATGTGAAAGATAAAGCACAGTGAGCTATAACTGAGATTGTGCACAACGTACTGATGAAAAAATTATCATTAACCTGCAAAGCCTGGAGCACTATCATTTTTCATGTTTCAATGACAAGTCTTATCACTGTAGTTAAGAAATTATATTTTCGATATCAACTCGAAACAAAGTTCTTTCATTTTAGCACCCTATTTCAGTGGATTTAAGGAAGACTTCAACAAAGTAATTAAAACATTTGGGAAAAAAATAGAGGGTCCTGATTTTGTCATTTTTCACCCTTCAGCCACACGGAGGCTTTAYACCCTTGAAAAGGTGCCTGCTGTATTCACATTAAATTGATTTACTTTGCCTGTTGCATGCGGCCAGCCCTGAGCACTCAACAGCCCCACATCCCTTGGTAGCTGCTGGGAATCAGATGCCAGTGAAATACGGCGACGCACTCAGACAAAGTCCCACATTCACAGTGTGACTCGCTCTGGATTTGCAACAACATATGCTTAAGCTTAGCAAACATTAGAGAAAATGACTAGAAAGTACTAATGAAAAAGATTTAATAAACACTGACATGACTTAACAGAAGCTATAAACACTGATTTTTTTTTTTTTCCACAAAACTTCAGGAATCAACTGGCTTAGCCACTTCTTGCTGGGCTGCAGAACACGTCTCTTTGTGCATTGGCRCTCGGTTTTAACATGTTTGCTTAGAGATCCCTGCCAATTTTATTACAGTGCTCTGCTGCCTAAATGAGCAGTCGTGGAGGTTTACTTTGGAGATCAGCATCCCTGCTGGCAAGTTTGCGTTCGCAAAAGCACCGAGCCCCCTTCATGCAGCAGCAAACCATGTGCCCTTGCACTAAACAACAAATGCTGCCGCTCTCCCCACTGTTCATTCAGTGAAACACAACAGGAGCTGTGTTCTGACGGGTTTAACAACATGTTCCTACACTTATTAAGCAAATAACACCTCCCGATGTTACAAAAAAAGTCCACAAAATGGAAACTGTCTGACAAATTCACTTGACCCTTGGTGGGGACAGCAAACTGTACCCATGCAATGGGAGGCTGGGCAAAGGCTTGTGTTAAATATCATCAAATGTTTCCTTCTGTGCCTTTCCTCTTTCTTCCTTGGCCTCAAAAATAGGATTTTTTTTTTCATAGTTCTTTCATAAGTCTAAATATTGGCTTCAACATTTGATGAAGATATCTGGAAACTCCAGGTAGTATTGAGAGACAACTAGAGGTTGTTATACACCCCTGACACTAATGGTAACAAAATGCTGTGATTTGAATTTCTGAGTGCCAGCCTGCATCTATCCCTGAAGATCTCCAGGCTGTGAGCTCCTGAAAGGGCCAGGAGCCATCAGACATCCTCACAGCATCACGTCAGACATGAGTTCTCCCTTGACCACCAAACTGCTCCTCAACTTCCCTTCTAAGAGTTTCCTCTCCTCACGCTGCTGTCATTGGTTGTTTTCAGAAGATTTAACTGACCAACGCATCATGTGAGCTCCAAACACACGCCACGCTGGTCACCAGATGGGTTTAGCAAGAATGAGATTGCTTTCAAAGGAAGTATAAAATACCTATAACCTAAGCTTTTAGAAGCCATATAAGCAATAATTATAAGCATTTTTACAAGTAAAGATTAGACACAAACATAAAAATTAATGCTAAAATTGCTATAAATCACCAGGAGGTGAAGATTTAAGATAAAAGATAAAAGATAAACAGGTACCAGGAGACTTGTCACAGAGATGTGAGAGTCAATAGTGTTATAAGTGCTAAAAGCTTCTTTTGCTGTAAGCACTGTATATTTGTACACAGTATAGATCATGTACAAGAAATATTAATCTAGAGAGTTTTCCAGGGGGATCTGGAAAAGAAATAGCACAGGAAAAAAAAAAAAAAAAAGAAGGAAAAAAAAGATAATGGTAAATGCCTATTACATTGCTTTGTAAA